GTGTGTGTGTGTGTGTGTGTGTGTGTGTGTGTGTGTGTGTGTGTGTGCCGTCCGTCAGGTCGAAGAGGCGAAGATCTGTGTTTAACAGACGATATCTGAAAAAGAGACTTAACTCGTGCCCTCGTGATTCTTTTGCATCATTTGACGGATTCATCTAAAGTGCAGAGGGGGGTGGGGGGGGGGGGGGGGGGGGAGAACAACAATATAAAAAAAGAAGCCCTTTAATGACCGAAGAAGAAACCGCTTTTTGTTCTATTATCCTTCTGTTGGTGATTAAGGTCTATGGGGAGATAATTACGCTTTAGTCTGGAGTTAATGAAACGAAAACTTCTCTTTTTCTTGTGAAAAAAGGAAGGGCAGATCTTTTGTGCTGCTATCTACAGACATCTCCCACCCTTGACAAGTCACAGAGAGAATTGGTTTTGTTTTAAGGTTGCAGCCCCCCCCCCCCCCACCCCCTCCCTCCGCTGCCTGTCAGTCTGCGGCTGATGTGAGGGATCCGTGAATGAAGCCGAAGTCAATGAGGTCTGCGTTAGGCGCACTGGAAGAAAAAAACCCACATCAAATGAAAACATCACACCAGGTCATCTGGGATATGAGCTTATTGGAATAGAACAAGAAACTCGTTCTTCCTGCTCCGCGTTGTTGGCGGCAGAGCACGTGCTCGCCACCAGGTGACCCCCCCCCGCTTCGTACGGGAGTGCTCGGATCCGAGTTCATCACACGAGCGACGCGCGCCGTCTGACTCGAAACGCCTCTTGCAGGTGTGGACCGAGCCGTAGTCTGGTGTACCCGAGCACATATCTTAACTGTCCTTGTGGAAGTTCACATCTGGTGTCCGGAGCTGTGTGTGTGTGTGTGTGTGTGTGTGTGTGACTGCCCCACGCACACACACACACTCTCCAACAGCACTCTCACATTTCATCATCTGCTCTCCAGCTCCGGGGTGCTTCGGCACAAGTTGGCCGCTCTGGATCCATCTGTTGTTATTATTTTCCACTGATAATTGGCTTGAACAATGGAATGCCTGTGTCCCCCTCGCCTTTGAAACCCTACACCCTGTTTATTTTCCAGAGGTCTCATTTTATGCTCTCTCTCTTTCTGACTCCCTTTCACCCCTCAATTCCTCCCCCTTTGCAGCCTCCCTTTTACCCAGTGCCACCTCACCCTCCTCCCCTCCTCCCCTCCTCCCAGCCCCCTGATCCGTTTCAGAGGGTTTCACACGAAAGTGACTTTTTTGACTGGCCGCGTCGGTGTGTGTCACTCAGCATCTGACGCCAGATTTCGCGGCGGGGCTCAGCTCTCGTTCTCGTGTGTTCTTTCTTATTATTTTTTTATAACTCTTGACAGGCCCGGCAGTTTTCTCCCAGGAGTTTCCCCCAACACCACACACTTCTGCATTCCTGTCCTAAATGAGCAAAAAGAAAAGCAGAGGGTGAGATAGAGAGATGAAGAGAACAAGAGGGAGGGAGGAAAGTGGGGACGTAATTGAGACACTTTAGAAAGGAAGCCATTGAATGGACCTTGGTATAAATCATTTTTTTTTTTTTTTTTCCTGCTGATTAGCTTTTATTTTTTTCCTATTACCACCAAGAGGCGAGTATGTAAAGATGAATCAAAGCATCACAAGGTGCCGTCTTTCTAATCCAGGACGTACTTTATTAATGTAGCTCAAAAAAAAATGTCCGACTTCAATTAATTAAATGTGATATTTTAAAATGTAATTAGTGTTTTAGCTGTTGTAATTAAACAGTTTCATGTGGAGGTCTTCATGCTCTGGTCACGTTCTTGTGCATTCACATTATATCAGACGGTTGGATTTTATCAGTAAGTTATTAGGAAAGTAGTTTGTAAAGTTTGTTTGAATGGAATGTGATATGTTCTTAGTGACTTGTGAAATGTGTGCAACCTTTGACGGCTTCTCTATAAACTTCTGTTGTTCTCATTAAGGACATTTTTTGAGAATTGAGGAAGAGTGTTTTTCTTCTTCCTTCCCTTTTGTTCTGCCTCGTGTGACCGCGTTGATGTTCATTTGCTCTGCCTGCTCTTGTCTAATTAAAAGAGGCCAGGACAGGTAGGGCTCTCAGCAGGCATCTGCTCTGCGCCACTTCTTCATTTGCTGAGTGTTTGTGTTTATGCAAAGGGAGGGGGGGGGCTCCTGCATATTTAATCCAGAGCAGGGCACCAGCTTTTGTTGTGTTTAGACCACATACCTCCGTTCCCTCTCAACAACTGCAGCCTCTCTCTCTCTCTCTCTCGCCCTCTCTCTCTCTCTCTCACACACTCACACACAAACACACTCAACTGCCGCGCACTACTTCAACTACTCCACATAGCTGCTACTTCCACTGGCAGCTTTCTCCTCCTCTTCAGAAGTGGATTTGAAAACACTCAGTGCTTGGAGGGAATCTGCATCAATATACTAGTTTCATGAACACGATGAAAGTCTGTTTGACTGACCGCGGGTAAGTCTGTCAAGATTTCATCGTCGTTCCCATGCTTTCTCTTTATTTATTGTTCTCCTCCTCTTCCTCCTCCTCTCGCCTTGCTTTCGTGGGACGCTGGTGCATGTTTGCGTGTGCATGTTTGGAGGTGTGTTCTTCTCTAAGTGACTGACAGAGCAGGCAGTGGGTCAGTAGGATTTACTACGAGAAGTATTTCTACGCAATACAATGTAGTGTAGTAACGTAAATTGAGGAAGTATCAATCAAGTTGTGTGTAAAGCTGACATGGTTGATGTGTCATTTGAGTATTAATTATTCAATAATTCAATATGTTTAAAATCTGCGAGTTCACTCTTTAAAATACACTGTTTTTCATTATTTTTCCGTTTCGTAATTTCTTTTTCTTTTTTGGGACAAAACAATTAATCGTGATAAAAATTGACAGATTTATTGACGATGCAGTCCAAGTTGCGTGTCTGGGGTTGTAATTTCACATCTAAAGCTTGTTCAGTCAAAGTGCCTGAATGATAAAATACACCTAAAAACATAAAAACATGTTTTCTCCGTGTCCCTAAAGGTGTACATTCCTAATTCAGAGCATATCTAGTGCCTCAACAAAGGCTCTCAACATGGCAACGGCTGAGTCGGCGGCACACGGCTAACGGCGCTAACAGCGCAAACAACGACAACAGCGTCACCGTCTGTAGCTGGTGTATGAGTGCAGTGCAGAGCGGCGGCCGTTAGCTAGCCAGTCGGACACGCTCACATGCTGGAACAAGCGCGCGCTGCCGTCACGCTATATGTCAACAAAGCAAGTAGACGCTCGGACAACAGCACACAGAGATGGAGAGTGACTTCACTCTCTGCTCAGGTAGACGTTACTCCACTATATCTTCACATGTAGAATAGTTGTTTGATGCCGTATTAATGCTCTGAATATCGTATAGAGACCCTTTAACCCTCCGAACCTCACAACCATTCGGCAGGTTTGAAAATTTAAGTAATCGCCAAAAAATACGCCTTTTTATCACAGACAGAGACTTTAAAAACAGAACTTATCATCACATTTTCAACTTTCAGACAGTCCTTGAACAAGTCACGTGTGAACGCTCCTATCGGGAAAAACAACCAAATCTAACCTGAAATAGTGATAGTTCATTAAAATCACTTAATTCTACATCAGGAACAGGATCACAGTTCATATCCTGTAAAGAAATGTAGACTTCTGTGCTCCTCAGCGAAACTGGGAAACCATGAATGACTCAGTAGAGACCAAGAGTCACGTGACCAACATTCAGAGCAACTTTGACTGAACATGCAGGCTGTTCACAAGGAGCAGAGTATAGTGTAAATATGTAAATAGTTCAGCATGTGGTATATATGCGTATTGGTGTTGGACTTGAATTGTGATGAAAATGAAGAAGAGCGCGGGAGATACGAAGAAGAAACCCAGTTGTACAACCTGATTAACGGAGAGCTGTGTTGTGTAAGTTTATAATTCACAAATGATTGGAGCTCATCGCCCTGATGTGGGTGAAGTGTGTGCATGGGTACCCTGTGTGAAATGCCCCCCCCCCCCACAGTGCAGCAGGGTTGGAGGTGATTGTAAGTGGTAACCCCACGGTGATGCGCAAGGGTATTAGTTCCTCCCTCCACTCATCGCCTCTTGTTCTCCCTTTTGTCTTTGTCTGGGGAAATGGAATCTGCAGCTTATTGATATTAATAGCGCTCAGGATCAGCGGTCGGAGAGGAGCCGGGACCCGGGACGAGAGTGGAAACCCGATACAGCCCGGCAGAATTGACGGTCCTCCTATCTGACAGGCTTGATAAAAATAGGATTGCATAATGCTCACTGCGTTTTTCGCCCTTTGTGTGTGTGTGTGTGTGTGTGCTGCACTGTACTGTACGCGATCAGGGCCGAACTTCTTTTCGACTGATTTTAATTTCACGTGCAAAGTGAGACTTTTTATTTGACTCCTGAGCCGCCCCAGCTGTGACTTCCCAGCAGACAAAAGAAGTGCAGTTTTCTTCTAGTGGGTCAATAGATTAGAATTCCTTAAAGCACAGAGACTATAGGGTGCACTGGATATCCACATGGTGGGGATTCAATGAGCTCATTTGAATAGCGTAAAGAAATGTGTGGCCCTGTTTGTTTTGGGTTAGGAGTGGAATTCCACTTCCTTGGCGTTAAGGCAGCAAAGCTCTCTGTTTGCGCTCTGCTACTTTGTTCTTAGCTCAGCAAAACGTGAGGACAGGTCCGAAGAATCAAGGGGGGGGGGGGGGGATCAGACAGGCCTGACATTCACCAGGCTGCACTGTTGCCTTTTAAGCTTATGAAGAAGAAAAGAGCCCAGAATAAGGGCTGAAGTTGGGTTTAATTGGTGGGTTTTGAGTCTGTTTGCGTGTCAGAAAGTGCTGTTGTTTACAGTCTGTGTGGGTGTTACAATACAATGCCAGGATCCTGCCAATCACATCAAAACAATTTATTTATGAGACTAAACAATGTTTTTCATTTAATCGGTCCTTCTTAATAAAAGCCCCGAAGAAGAAACGGAGGGAGGAAATAGTGTGCAGTCAGCCCTTTTTTATTTTTTTAAAGCAGATCGGATCATACAGTGAGCAGCTGTGTTTTTTTGAGAAGTGACTCACGCTTTAGATTTTTCCTGCTTTTCAAGAGCGCAGACAGCGACTTGGAAAGTCTCCCGCTCACGCCCTTAAAACAAACACCAACGCTCCTGTACTCACAGTGGATACCACTGACTGTACTCAGCCCAAAACTTCTCCTACGCCCTCTTCTGAGTCACACAATGCCCTTAATACGGATTCACCAACCTTCTTTTTGTTTAGTTTAGTTTTATTCAAACCTGCCCCGGCATGATAAATGGACACTGTCAATTTCGCCCAGGTGCTGATACTGAGCGATCGAAACAACCCCGGGACGGTGCTGTAAAGAAGCGAGAGACAACTCTGGCAGCCTCCTATTGACAGCCATTGAGTTGAGCATTAATTAATATGGTAATGACGTGTGAAGGTTCATTAACGGGCCGCCACAGAAGTAGCCGCGGATACAGTGCTAAGCGCGCTCGGTGAGTAATTAATGGAATAACTTTACTTAGTGGTAAATATTCATGGGCCCTCGTGTTTTTTTTTATTTGTCGGCGCCGTGTGAAGAGAGCACCGTCCATTAGAGGGGCTGAAGGGCCGTCCGCGCTGAATGCGGGGCCTTTTGTTGGGTTCGGGCTGCGTTTCAGTGGAGGGGGTATTAATTCATATTTTGAACATGCAATCTTACAACAAAGCCAAAGGCAGCGATAACATACCTACGACTAGAGAGCATATTGTGAAGCTGTGACCCCCCCCTCCCCCCCCACCCTCACTAATAGGGAAGTCCACTTCACAGGTTTGTGGGCAGAATAAAACGAGTCTTTGTTCGAGCTCAGTTGTAACCAGCGCAGGTCATTACCATAGCAAAAAAACCTTCTTGATTGTCCATTTCATCTGAAAATACGGTGTTTGCATGCTTTTTTTTGTCACCCCCCCCTTCCTCTCCTCACGACCACAATGGAGCATGTGGTATTTGCATAGAGAAGGGAGATATTTCTTTGGATGGTGTCATCCCCTAACGGTATCAGGCTAACGGTCGGGCCATCCGTTGCACACACGAGTCTCGCCGTGAGGTATTTCTTTGTCGGAAAAGTCACGTTTTCTCTCCGCTCTGTTAAACACCTACAAACACCCTTTCAAGGCGTCACAAGAGAACCTGGCACGATGCTCCCCGGTTCCCTTTCGTCACTTGAGATTGTTGCATTTTGATTCACATTCTCAGCCCGAGCCTCTAACCGAGCGTGCACATAACCCACCTGGGTGGGTAATTATCTCAACCAGGAGTTGTTCCATCCCCTAAAATCTCGATGTGGGAGTGTGTGATGGGCTCGGCTTTTCCCAGCCCGGGCGAAGCAGCGTGTGCTTGTTTATCCTCACCCTACGTTCTCCGCACCCCCCACCGCTCTAAATGGCAAAACATTACAGGTTTGTGCTGTTTGAAATGGAGACAATTATCTGTTTAGGCATCACAAGATGGGCATTAGGTTACAAGGAGAAAAAGGCGTACAGCTGCTATCAGGATCCCGTCGTTGCCTTTTTGTTTCTCTCCCCGATACAAATTTTCCGTCATTAAAATGATGGAACATTTATCTAAATGGATGTTATGCGTTGGGTAAACTCATTTGGCTCCCGGGGCCCTTTCAGGTGATGGGAATTAATGATGTTTAGTAGTTTTGAAACTGAAAATATCTGTCATTTGTCACCACTCGCCATTGATTTACGGTTCCATTGATGATATGTTAATTGAAGTGTAATGAATCACAATAATAGGGCAGTTGTGTGGGAATGGTCCATTTTGGATGATTGTTCAACCCTCGGTAGAGTTCAGAGCGAGCTGCATGTTGACTCGCGTTTTCAACAAGGGCATTTAACACATAATTAATGCTGGAACTGGGCAAGTTGGACCTGTGTGTGTGTGTGTGTGTGTGTTTTTAATCTTTTCTCAGTCTGCTTCAGATAAACACACGCTTGGTCACAGTTTTGACTGCCAAATATAAACGGCAAGAAAGAACAGTGGGAGTTGGGAGCTTCTTTCTTTTCTTTCATATTTGGATATGCTTTAATGCTTTTATTCAAATGCACCTGAGATATTGCCCCACAGTCACTTCTCAGTTTACCATAAAAATAAGATTTTGTTTCCTTCTCTCTCTTTTTTTTTTCCCCCCATCTTTCTTCGCCTGGGTTGAGTGCTCTGTTAGGACAGCTGTGTGCATGCAGATCAGGGCTGCCCAGGGTGGGGGGGGGGTGGGGGGTTGAGTCAGGGCAGAGCAGGTACTCTGTGCTCACCACCCACTGTCAAGCATCACGGCAAAGTTTTTGTCTTGCAAATAAACCGCCCGCTCACACGCGTTATCGTCGGCGGGTACAGTTGTAGTTAACGGACGGTTTGGAAGTTAGCAGGACGTGTCTTTGACGGGGACAGACAGCCGGCCGCGGGACGGTACGTGTGAGGGCGCCTTCTGCCCCGAAATGTTGTCTGCAGGGGGAGGCGCACTGACGTGCCCAGCAACCTCCAAACGCGAAGGGGAAGCAAACTGCAGAGGAACGCTGGGGAATTGATTTTCTCTCTCTCATGATTTCCCAGAATACCACGAGAACGTTTGTGCACGTGTTTAATCCGATTCAACACGCACACCGGTGGGCGAACTTGTTATTAGCAGCACTTAGTTTACACCCGTGCACTTTCTTGCCACGGACGTGGCTCCTCGTGGATGTGCCTGTTGACGAGCACGGTAATCATTTCATAATAATAAATAATGCTCCGTCTTGTGTCCGCAGGGCGAGGAGGCTGTTGCGCCACCGCTGGAACTGAAGATAGCTTTAAATAAAAGCAAGTCCTTGCAGAAGGTAAACACACATACACACACACACACACACACACACACACACACACACACACACACACACACACACACAAGACTCCGGTCCCTGCGTGTGCGAGTGAGTGCTGTATTGAATCGGCTTAATAATTAACTCAAAGCAGTGGGGTTGTTTTGTTTGTGTACTGTATTTGTGCAGTGTTTATGTGCGGTCTAAGAGGGCGGGCGGGGGGGTGGAGGACAGGTGCACTGACAGCTGCTGATTAGAGACCAACATGGCGAGCAAAAAAAGGGACCTCCCCCCCCCCCCCTTTAAAGGTCACAGTGGAGTTAGTTGGTTGTGTGATAAGTGGTTTGAAATCATGTTGCGCCGTTGACGAGTTCGTAGGAAATTAGGTTGCTGAATGTGGTGTTCGTACATGTCGACGTTTGTTCGGGAAAGTAACACCTTGTTTACCAAACAAGAGGAGGGAGGTCGAGCTGTCGTTGGCATCTCAGCCATTCTGGTGGATATCTGGTGCTCCTCTCACCTGTCTCCCTATCGGAGCAGCTTCTGAGGCTGGTGAGGCAGAGCAGGACTGTGTGTGTGTGTGTGTGTGTGTGTGTGTGTGTGTGTGTGTGTGTGTGT